TGAGTCCAGGAGTTCAGGGTCAGCCTGAGCAACATGATGAGACTCCCTCTCTTTGGAATAAAACAGAGAAGGCTGTGCAAGTTTTCACACGTGGTCAGAGAAAGCCTCTCCATGTAGATGCTATTTGGCCAGAGACCTAAATGGAGTTGTTTCTTTTTTTTAATATTTTTTTTAGTTGTTGATAGACCTTTATTTTATTTATTTATATGTGGTGCTGAGAACCGAACCCAGGGCCTCGCATGTGCTAGGAGAGCCATCTACCACTGAGCCACAACCCTAACCCCTGGAGTTGTTTGTTTTTTATAAATCTGCTGGGTGTGATGGTGCTTACCTATAACCCCATGACTCCAGAGGCCAAGGCAAGAGGACTTCAATTTGAGGCCAGCCTCAGCAATTTAGCAAGACTCCCAAAAACTTAGTGAGACCTTGTCTCAAAATTAAAAAAAAAAAAGGACTGGGATGTGGTTGAGTGGTAAAGAACCCTTGGATTCTATCCCCAGTACCAAAACATGAGCTAAACAGATGTCTATGAATGACTGCTCTGGGTAAAGGAACATCAAGTAAAAAGGACCTGAGCTGGGGCCTCAGAATGCCCCTGGGTAGGTAATTGTGTGATGTTAGTGTTGACTACTCTGTATAACTGATGTGTTGCAGTGTAATGTATCTGGTGGGGGTGGGTGCTGAGGCAGTATTTTTGACAGAGCTGAGTAACCATGTGCCTCGGAGTTTGTATGTGTTTGTGTGCATGTGCATGCATGCAGGTAGTGGCTATGGTACAGTTGTATCAGAGTGTGTTCTTGTGTGTGTGCAAGAGAAAGGATGTGTGTGAACACAGGACAGAATGCGTATGGGATCCTTTGTGTCTGGATGGATATAGCTGTGAGCATGTGGATGATGGAGATTCTGGAATTGAAATATATGCAGAGATGTCATGGTGTGTGTGTGTGTGTGTGTGTGTGTGTGTGTGTGTGAAGGGTGTGGGGGTACCCAGCTGTTTGAGTGGGTGTATTGGGGGATGTTGTGGAGCTGTTTTCTGGTCCCAGAGAGAGAGAGAGAAAGCCCAGGAAATCACAGTTCTGCCCTGCCCCTGGGTCTCCAGGCAACAGCACCACTTTGAAGTTACCAGGAGACCAGGTTGCCAGGGCAACACAGACATGAGTGGCAGCTCTGGGGCAAAGTCTGGGTGAGGAGACCCAGTCAGTGATCATGCTCACTCACTTCGTTCCTTCCTCTCACCCAGTTTCTCAAAATCCCTACCTTTCTTCCTTTGCTGATTTAACAAGAACATATTTGAGACTTACTATGTGTTAACGCTGTTCTGAGCCCTGGAGTGACAGAGGTGACAAGGCAAACCAGACCTCTACTGCCTCTCTCCCAGCCCCTTTCTTTCCTGCCTCTTTTGTCTTATATTCCCCCTTCGCTCCTTCCCTCAGCACAAGCAAGATTCGAGAAGCCCCCATGCCAATGAGAAAGTAAGGTGAGTAGCCTCTTCTCACAGAGCCTCTTAGGTAGCTGTTGCTGTTTTGTTGTGTCGTTGTTGTTTGCACACAGTGTGCCTGAACCTGTGGCCCCAAACACTTGTGACCATATTCAGGTGTGTAGAGACACAAGCACACAACTCATCCCTCTACACTTCTCAGTTGCATTGGGTGACATCATCAAAACCACACACAGACACAAGCCCATCAATATTGCCCTGAGACACCATGAGACCCATTTTACAGGTGAGCAAACTTAGGCTAGGAGACTTGAAGTAATGTCAGTGATTTGGGCCTGTTTGCTCCAACACTCAATGCGTATATGTTGCTTACAAGACACCTTAGAGACGTGCACAGACTAAAGATGAAAGCATAGGAAAAGATATGCTGATTAGCTGACTAGCTGATTAGTCACAGTAATAGTACTCATGCTGCTTCCCCCAGAAGCCTCCCTCAGAGGAAGGTCTTATCTCCCTTAAATTCCTCCATCTTTCCAAAACTCAAGACTAGGTTATCTGCTCAGTCCCCAGGGGGAGAGCTAGCAAACACGATTTACTTTTGACGGACAGCTCCAGGGACCAATAGAGAAGCTAAGTTTACTGTAACCAATGAGGCCTCAGTTTGGGAGGGATCAAGGCTGGGAATGCGCTCTCGATTGGACAGAGATGTGTTGCGAATGGCGGAGACGCTGAGGCGGGTGCTAAGCCGGGGCAGCGCGGTGGGGACCGGGGAGGACACGGCAGAGGCGGGGCCGCCTTTGCTCTTACTCGGTGCTCCAGGCTCTGGAAAAACAGCGCTGCTATTTGCGGCGGCCTTGGAGGCAGCAGGAGAGGGCCGAGGCCCTGTCCTCTTCCTGACTCGTAGGCCTCTTCAAAGCCTGCCCCGCGGCACCGGTGCGGCGCTTGACCCTCTGCGGCTGCAGGTAACGGTGGGGCGGGACCAGAGGCATACCAGCCAATAGTGGGGCGGGTCGAGGATTGAGTGATAGATTGGTAGGTCCCTGGCGGGGATGGCGGGAGGGCTCACCCGAGCGGCCATGATGGGGTGGAGTCAGGAGTGCGTGAGGGGTGGAACCAGCGGAACTTAATTGAGTGAAAAACCAGATCACGACGGGCGGTGTTAGAGGCAGGCCCAGGGGGCGGGGTCAATGTTAATTGAGGGGTGGGGCTAATGGAGCTAAATTTTCAGGGCTTTGTCGGACTGAGAGTGATGGTAGGGGCAGGTTTCCTCTGGCAGTCTTGGCCCTTAACTAGGACTATGGCAGTGCTGGAAAAAGGATGAATAGGAGAATATTTACCACGTTGTCACCCTGGAACCAGCTGTCTAGGGAGCGAGAGAGTCTGGGACAGCAGGGAGTCTGACTTCCTGTGCTGAATCTGGCCTCTTCTTTTCTTTCTTTTTTTTTTTTTTTGAATCTTCTAGAAGATTCGCTTCCAGTACCCACCCTCAACCGGAGAACTTCTCCGGCTCCTGTGCTCTGCCCATGAGGCTCCGGGGCCTGCCCCCTCCCTACTGCTGCTTGATGGCCTGGAGGAGTACCTAGCAAAAGACCCTGGGCCCCAGGAAGCCACCTACCTGGCTGCCTTGCTTCTGGATACAGTTGCCTACTTCAGCCACCGACGTGGACCCAACCGGGACTGTGGGCTCATGGTGGCCCTCCAGACTCAGGAGGAAGGAGACAGTGGGGATGCCCTGCAGCTGACACTGCTCCAGCGGTATTTCCCTGCCCAGTGCTGGCTGCAGCCAGATGCACCAGGCCCAGGAGAGTGCCACATCCGAGCCTGCCTTGAGCCAAGTGGGCTGGGTCCCAGGACAGAGTGGTGTGTGACTTTCCAACCAGATGGAGAGATGAAGATCACCAGGTGGCCCACCCAGGCTTGTGACCCCAGCTCAGACAAGAGTTCAAGCTCTGGAGACCAGCCCTGAACCTTGGTGTGTGACAACCTATCTGCCTCAGTTTCCAGGGGCTGGAATACTTATTTCAGGAACGTATGCAGATTCATCACTTAAAGAATATAAAGTGCTTCTTCTCTTTAGCTCTATATATAGGGGTTAAAAATTAGCATTATAGGGCTGGGATTGTGGCTCAGCAGTAGAGCACTCGCCTAGCATGGGCAGGACCCTGGTTTGATCCTCAGCACCACATAAAAATAAAGGCATTGTGTTGTGTCCATCTACACCTAAAAAATAAAAATAAATAAAAATTAGCATTATAGAGGTTGGGGAGAGAGCTTGCATAGCATGTGTGAGGCCCTGGGTTCAATCCTCGATACCATAAACAAGCAAAAACACCCTAGTATTACCATGTACATATTATGTCCAATCAATTGATTTTTTTTTTTTTTTTTACTGTTTTGAACTGTATAAAGAGTTTCATGATAAATGTAATCTGAGGCTTCCTTCTTTGCCCAGTTAAGATTGTAACTAAGACTCAGCCACATCTTCTAGTTCATTCCTTTTTTGATGTTGCATATTAATCCACGGGCAACTATACCCTAATTTATTCATCAGATTGACTTATTTACTGCTTGAACATTCTAGTAAACATGTCCAGTATACATAGGTGTACCAGGATATATACCTAGGGTATATACTTAAAAAGTGGAATTTCTGTAGCATAAAGTATGCATGTTTTCAGCTTTCTCTGATTAAGCCAAACTTTTAAAAAGGGGTCAAATGAAAATTGCTGCTAAATGCCATAATGATATTTGGCATCACCACAGTACTTTCTCTCACCACCCCCTTTTGTCCCCAGTACTGGGGATGGAACCCAGGGACGCTCTACCACTGAGTTACATCCTCAGTTGTTTTTTTAATTTTTGAGACAGGGTCTCTTTAAGTTGTTGAGGCTGGCCTACAACTTGCAATCTTCCCACCTCAGCCTCCTGAGTAGTTGTAATTATAGGAGCCAGTGCTTTCTTTAAAACATGGCCTGACTAGGTGTAGCGCACAAGCTTGTAATTTTAGCAACTCAGGAGGCTGAGACAGGAGGATTGTATGTTCAAGGCCAGCCTCAACAACTTAGGGAGGCCCTAAGCAACTTAGTGAAACCTTGTCTCAAAATAAAAAATAAAAAGGATTGTAGATGTAGCTCAGTAACAGAGTACCCCTGGGTTCAATCCCAGAACCAAAAAAAAAAAAAAGCCTTATTCAGAATAAAGCCCTGTGAGATATTGTTTTATTGTTGTTTTTTTAAAATTTATTTATTTTAGTTTTACACAATGCCTTTATTTTTATTTATTTATTTTTATGTGGTGCTGAGGATTGAACCCAGGGCCTTGCACACGCCAGGCGAGTGCTTATGGCTGAGCCACAACCCCAGCCCCTATTGTTGTTATAGTGATAGAGACTAGATAGAGGGTTACTAAAAAGTTTTCTTCTCCTTGGGTGTACAACAAATTACATCTCCCAGCATCCCATGGTTCTAGTTGGGTCACATGACTTTCTGACCAGTAGAATGTGAGAAAAGAGACTGTCTTCACATGAGATCCCTAAAATGAACCGTGGAATCTTCTGCTGTTCTGCTGCATCCCTTTGTTTATTAGCTGACAGGACGTACAGCATCGATCTAAGGACCCCATGGTCATCCCAAGAGAAGACTAAGCTATAGACCAAAAGAGTTTGGGCCTCTGACTCATCCCAAAATGGCTTCCCACCAGTCTGAATTAGGATATCAGCGAGAAACCATGTAATGAGCTAAGCCACTAAGATCTAGGAGCTGCTTGTTACACCAGCTAGTATAATTTACATGACTAATTTATTTCATTATGATTAGTCTTCACATTGCCAGGTCCAAAATTTCAGAGTGAGATCAAGGACTTTATCTGCTGCCCCTGTGGCCATGGCCTAGGGAAATATGGGGCTTACAGAGAGTCTGCAGAAGTCATAGTAGAAAAACTTAACATATTTTATACATATATGTATATACAAAAAAAAAAAAGAACATACATATTATAAAATACTGCACAGTTGGGACTTTCTGAGCAGAATGGGTCGGGTAAACAGTCAAAGTTAGCAATGCCCCTAGCCTTGAGGGCAGCCTCTCCGTTCCTGTTCAGGTCAGTCTTGGACCTGAACTGGCGCTGCAGTCCTGTTGGATCCCCAAGCATCTGTAGGCTGGAGTCCTAAGAGCAGGCCACATAGCTGGGGGATAGAGGCTCAGGGGTTGGGACAGGGCTGTTCTCATACAGGTTGGAGTAGGGGCTATCAGAGGAGCCCCCTTGGGCTCCCTGGGAGTCCCCTGAGCTGTAATCAGTTGAGATGCCTGAATCAGAAACCACGAGGTACAAGTACTTCAGGTGGGGTGGGGTGGGGGGCAGCTCAGGAGGCAGTGCTCGTGGACGCAGGAGCTGGGAGCTGGGATCCAGGATGGTGTACTCAAAGCTGGCAGCTGAGGCGCCCTCTTGTCTGGGCTTTAAGACCAAAGCAGATGAGCATGAGGATGCTTCTGAGCCTTCATCCACAGCCACTGTGTCCACACTGCCATCAGGCCCTGAGAGGTCCTCGCTGCATGGGCTCTGGGGCAGCAACCACTTGTCCAGCACCAGATAGGAGTCCTGGGCACGTTCATTGCCCACTGGCTCCAGCAGAGGCCCCTTGTCATCTGCTCCTGGCTCCACTGCCTGGGTAACCCCCCAGCAGCGCTCTGAAAGGACTTCCAGGTGGGCTGGTGGGTCCTCTGTGAAGGGTGTGCAGGGGTTCCACCAGAGACAGCCATCGTGCTGGGAGAGCCACAGCTGGAGAAGCAAAACCAGCTGCTCAGAGGCCAGGGCTTCCACTTTCAGGGGCAGGATAGCCCCAGGCTCTGGGGGGACAACCAGGCCACCTACCTGGAAATTACCCTTGTGGGTGGTGAAGAGACCCTCAAACTCGCTCTCTGGGCTTGGAATGCCCGGCCAGATCTTCTGCTTCAGGGCCCTGTTGAAATTGATAGAAATATTTTGGTGGACATAAGTCATTGAACACTCACCACTGCTCTTAGCCCCCAGTCACATGTGTACAAATATTCCTGGTCCCTGTGATCATGAGGGACACAGAGGGGTACATCAGGACTGGGGAACAGGGGCTTTGGCTGAAGCATCAGTGAGGTCCTTCAGAAGGCTAATTAGAACGGATTTGTGAGGATGACAAGGAGCTCAATATAGACTGACTCAAGCTCCGAACCTGGTCCAGGGTTTGCCTGGAGGAGCACTATTGTCACTACTCTTATCACTCCCTTCAGTGGTTTCTCAGCATTCGGAATATATCCAGGGCTGGGGATGTAGCTCATGTAGAAGGCATGCTTAGCACTCTTGAGGCCCTGGGTCCCATCCCCAACACACACACAAAACAAAATCCAAACTCCTTCCCCTGCCCCACAGGTCCTGCGTGATCAGCCTCCTGGTATTTCCTTTGCCTCATTCACCATTCCCCCCTCACAGAGTGCTCCAGCCACATCTCTTACAGCTGCTTCAGTGTCCCAACTTCATTTCCACCAAAGGACCTTTGCACTTGCAGTTTCTTCTCCCCACTTTTCACATGGCTGCTTCCTATCAACTCTGAGGTTTCTACTCCAGAAGCCTTCCCTAACTATCCCATCATATATGTACCCATGCCATGTGTTTCTAGGATATCACTCATAGCAATTTTTTTTATTTTATATATATATATATTAGTTTTCAGCGGACACAACATCTTTGTTTGTATGTGGTGCTGAGGATGGAACCCGGGCCCCACGCATGCCAGGCGAGCGCGCTACCGCTTGAGCCACACCCCCAGCCCAGCAATTTTTTTTTTGATGAGTTATAAAGAAGTTTATTTTGGCTCATGGTTCTGAAGGCACATGGTTGAGGGCCGACATCTGGAGATGGCCTCTTTGCTGGCAGTCCTGAGGCAGAGCAAAGCTTCACACAGCAAGAGACAGGGAGAGTGAGTGTGAGTGTGTGTGTGTGTGTGTGTGTGTGTGTACTCATAGCAATTTATAATTAAATATTTGTTGGTTCCCTTGTTTGTTGTCTGCCTTGTTTGTTGACTTAACTACGAGATCCACAAAGTCAGGGACTTGTAAGCAGGATCTGGCTTGTTCTCCACTCTCTCCTCAGTGCCTACCACATTTTGGTACCCAATATGTACTTTCCCACAAATAAGTGAACAAGGCCATGAAAGTGAATTAGTGGGCACGGCAGGAAGGACATCCCAGGCAGAAGGAACTGCAGGTGCAGAGACTTGGGGTGTGAAAAGGCACGGTGTGTGCTTGGAATTAGACCTCAGAATGGCTAGTCAGATCATTAAGCATCTAAGGAACTTGACAACAAGGGTCAAGGGCCATTCAGAAGCTTAAGACCATCTGGTTGATTTGATAAAAGTCATTACACTAGGAAAAGGAACTAGCAAAGGAATCCAAGAAGGAGCAGACACTGAGGAACAAGGAAAACCAGGTGCACGTTCCCAGGGACAGAAAATTTTAACCAAGAATCTGGGTCTGGTCACTTTGGGCGAGTGTTTCCTCCTAAATCTAGCTTTCCCTAGTGAAAGAAGGATGTTCCAAGGAACATCCACGTGCCCAGATTGCGGGGGCGGGGGGGGGGGGGGGCTTACCCCCGGGGGGGGAGCAAGGCAAGCACGGCCAGCAGCAGCAGGATTAGCACCAGGATGAGGGAGAGCGTCAGGATAAGGGGGTCCAGGTCTAGGAGGTAAGGAGGAGGTCAGGGCATGGGTTTGCCCAGCATTTCTCCCCAGCTCCTTCCACACCCCCACCTGGGTCTCACCGCTAGCAGTCAGCAGCGACACAGGCTCAGACCAGGCGCTCCAAAAACCACCGAAGCTCGGCTCGGCCATACGCGCACGAACTGCGAAGGTGTAGCGCGTGGCTCCACGCAGATTGCTCAGCACGCACTCAGTGCGACCCTCCAAAATCTCCACCTGGGCGAGGGGCACAAGGTGGAGTACAAAGAAGGGCGCTTGGGGCGGGCCCTGCAGGGATCCAGCTAGTCGGAGAGAGAGGCAATGCCTGAGTCTGGGCCAATGAGAGTAGGGGGCGTATCCCAGGAAAGCTCAAGGCCAATCAGAGTAAAGATCCCATAACAAAGGGCGTGACCTGCGCTACCTAAAGGCGGGGCCCGACAGCCTAGAGTGAACTGCGTCCTGAAGTGTGCGGTTAGGGATTTAAGAGTGACAGAAGTTGGGGTTGAAGCGGATCAGCGGGGCATTGGCAAAGGGGTCGTGAAAATGAGCGTGGAGCTTTCTTAGGCATCAAGGCAGTGGGATGTGGGCCGTCAGGGATGGGGCTGGAGGGACCGGGCCTCGAGGGCGGGCCGTGGGGCCCTTCTGGGTGGGGACTTAGGGGGGGCAGGCAGTCTGCTGTGGAGCTGCTAGGGCTGGACGGTCCCGGCAGGCCTCACCCTCTGCGATCCTCCTGCACCGTGGCCGGCCGAGACATCCACTTCGTAGCGGATTTGGGTCGTCATAGGTGCCCCAGGAGGCGGGAGCCACCGTAGCACCACGTGGCCGCCCTCCTCGGCCTGCCGTGCCAACAGCCCTGCTGGGGCGTCCAGGAGCACTGCAGAGTGGGGTTGATCAGGTGGGCGGAGACTAAGACCCCCTCCCCTGACCCCTCCTCCATTCTCCGCGCACATACCCACTTCGTTGATGTGGATGGTACGGCGATAGCGCAGAGTGCCCGAGGAAGCCACTGTGACTTGCAGCTCTAAGGGCACGAAGCTCGACGTGTCGGCCGTAGGCAGCGAGCACCAGAAGCGCACCGCGCCACGGGCAGTGGGTTCCTGGTGCAGGTGACACGGCTTCCGTGGCTCACCCCTATGCGCCGGGGAACCCAGGAGAGAAGGAAGCAAATTGGGAGGGGGAGCTGGGAAATTTGTGTTGTCCAGACTGTGGTGGCATTTTGGTTACTAGCACCGGGGGGAGCCCCAGCTCCGGGGTAGTGACGCCTGAGTCCAGCATAGAAATTATATTGCCCCAGTCCTGATGTTTTGGGGTCGCGTGGAAGCGGCGATCACTGGAGTATTCCAGCACGTGCCACTAGGGGGAGTGTTAGCCCTGGCCTGGTAGATTTTCCACCAGTGACCACAACCGGAGGCGCCGTCCAACTCCAGGCTCTAGGGGACATCTCAGGCTATGGCCTCCGGGAAATTCTACCTGCCCGCACCGCACCCCTCGATACACACACACACACACACACACACACACACACACACACACACACACACACCACACACCGGTGGGACATCTGCCCTGACTCACTCGAGCTGGTAAAAGAAGCTGTAGTTGTGGGAGCCGATCCTAGAGCTCGCCGCTTCCTCCCAGAAACACACCAAGTCCTCCAATCTCTCGGTGAAGCACAGAAGGTCTTCGGACCCGCGGGCTGCCAGCAGGGCCGCTGGGAAGTGACAATGAGAGGGGGTCAGGGAAGCCGAGCCCTGTTCCTGGCCACAGCCCCCTTCCCCTCCCTCCGCCGCCTGTGCGGACGCGATAAGAAAAAAAGCACCGCCCCGCCCTCTCCCGGAGCAGGGTCCTCCAGGGGTCTGCAGAGGGGGTGCCCTTGGAACTCCCCAGCGCAGGTTGCTTGCCTACTGTCCCCCACCCCATTACACACACCCGCCCACCCCGTGGCCAGCTGAGCAGTGCACAACCTTCAAGACCTCGGCCCCCAGCTGCCCGCGCTGCTCCAGGCCTGGATGTGTGCACTGCTGGGTGTGTATGGAGGAGGCGGTCCCCTATCTGCCCCAGCAGGCTCCCGATAGCGCCAACCGTGTCCCCCGCTCCCTTCTTCCACCCGACGGGGCTAGGGATCTGGCGCCCGCTCGCAAACCGTGTTCACAGTCGCCTGCAGCCTGGCCCCTCTGACTCGAGGCTTTAGCCTCTTTTCCCAATTGGAGAGTCCGCTTGATCCCCTCCCCCCAGGGACTCAGACTGCAGGAGTCCTAGACCCAGCACACCCTTGTTCCATTAGGCTTTAGCATGTCCTAGACTCCCTGAAAAGATAAAATAAGAATCATATATATATATATATATATATATATATATATATATA